GAAACGACAACGTACGTGGGTGCTCTTTTACTATTTGGTCTAAATTTTTGTGCTCTTCGCATGCATAAGTTTCAACCATATGCTTTTTCTTCGTATGTCCAAATTATATTATTAATTAATTAATTAATCCGAAACTAATTGGACAAAGAGTACCCCATATACAGATTCTTCACTACACATAGTGTTTTAATTAGGAGGCGCACGTATGCCATTGCCATGAATGTGTGAAGTCGACAACCACTGACTTATATGCGCGCACATGTAAAAAGTAGTGATAGTGCCTCCACAATAATAACAACAGTGCACTGTTGTTCAGCTTAATTTATATGCATTTAACTTAATTTAATGTAATTTAATTAATATGACTGTATCCTATAAGTGCGACAGTGTGATCAAAATTTGGGTTCATTTTCTCCTAACCTCGCCGTATGTAGTGTCTCCAACCCTATGCTAACTCTATATACTTAATTATTACCGATATTAATATTTGATGAAGGATGCGAATTGAGACGCGTGTTTGGATCCTTGTGGCTGATGGAAACAAGGGAAGAAAAAGAGCTCAGTAAGAAGATGTAGAAACCACCAGCAATAAGAAGATTATTTAAGGAATATTCTGTACATTTTATTTTTATTTTCTTAAGACTTCATCATTTATTATTATTTTTCTGAATATTTTCATTTAATTTTATAACTTTAAAATGATTTTAATTTGTTTTTTTCGAGTTAGGTTAAAGGTTATAAATAGCGTTTTGATAATACATCTAATGGAATGCAGCAAAAGGAAGCAACTGTTTTTTTTTTAAATGAAGGGGTATGAATTAATAATGTGGTTAATAATCTTTTTGGTGAGGGGAAATTTCAACCTTTGCTTGCTTGGTACGAAATATTATTATTTATATAAGTGAAAATGGGGGGGGTATATTATTATGGCATTTTAAACAATGATCATACGCTCCCAGGACCCCACACACCACATTTCGCTATATATATATCTATATATATATATATTTACACTTTCTATCATGATAGCCAAAGTTAGTGATTTCTCTTTCTTCATTGCTTTCTTTATCCATTTCATCGGATTCGATCTTGCCTTTGATCCTTTCACAAGTCATCTACCCCTCACTTTGTTTTGTTTATACATATCTGTCTCCCTTTTCTCATGTGTGCTCCTCATTTTCTTTTTCAATCTTAATTCATGTTTGTGAATTGAGAGGTTTGAGAGCAAGCTCATGTGGTCACAGATATACAGATTCTTCAAAGATTACGTAGTCACAGGCTAGTCTTTCCCCCCCCCCCCCCTTTTGGTATTTACAGATTCTCTCTCGATGTTGAATTACAAGTATTTTTTGTTATGACAAATTCAAATAATTTATATTGTGATGAATAATATTTACCTAAAATAAGTAATTTCTCCGTGCATGTTTGGCCTCTTAATTATATTTAATCTTTTTTTGTCTTTAATGTAAGTGCTAGTTAAGAGTTGTAGTTAGCCTTAAAAAAAAAAATTCAAATCCATTTTATCTTTTGTATATGGCATTTATAAGGATTTTAATTTATTTAATTTTCTTAAACTAATCAAGTTAGCTAAGTAAATCGTGTATTAAGGATAGGAGGAAACAATTAACGTTGGCTGGGTATGGCAGTTTTGTGTTTGTGATGGCGATGTTACATTCCAAGTTAGGATGTAGAAGCAATATTATTAGTCGCAATTATAGGCGAAATCAACAGCTAAGAGAGCACCAAAATAGCCACTCCACTGTTATTTTTTTGGGGGGACAAAACTACAAGACAAATATCCTCGAAAGCAACGTGGTTAAGGAAGGCCACATTTATTATGGTTACTGTAATTTACAACAACAAATATCCAGCACCCATCATGGTCCTTGTTTGTCATTCTTTTGCTGTTTTTTAGAACATTTTAGCTTTCAAAGTGCTTCACACCCCACTTTTTCTAAATTAGTTTTCAATGTAATCTCTCCTTTTATTATGACAAATATCCTCATCATCATCATCATTTTCTCTTTTAACTTTCTTACGTTGACACTGCCTGCTACCTTGTTCTTCTTTTCCCCCCCTCCGATATTCTTACATTACAGCCATGAAAACGACAAACAACAATGAGGCCAAACCCCTGATTATGAGCTCGGAAGTTTGAGAAAATAAAAAAGAACATACTAATCATTGCCATTTCCCTTTGCTTATCAACATTTTAGCTGTGCATGAGCCAATGACAAATCAGTTTGGTGTTAAAAGCATAACAGGACATAAAAGCAATGGAATCCATCCATTAGTGTGTGACACCTTGTGGAGTTTACTGTTATCTCTTGTCCTAATTATTAAACCTCGTTTATAGCTCACAAATAAGGTCTTATAATTAAAACTGGAGGTAATATTTTAGAGAGTTTTCCCTTCTAGTATTTTTTTCCCTCCTTAATTTTCTTCCGATCAAAACAAAGGGTTAGTGACCCTTCCCTTCATCTGCTTGTCTGGGTAATACTTCCCCTAAGTAAGACTGGTCTTTTAATAATAACATTAATATTACAAGTATATACTTAAAGAAAGATCTAATTCTCAAAGACCAGCTCATTAAAAGTCTAAAAATCATAAGAGCTGGTCCTGGTGGGTGACTTTTTTGTTTTTTGTTGGGTGCATTTACTTAGTTGTTATTTTACAGGGTACTAATAAAGCTAGAAAAAGCGTGGTTCATTATTGTTAGTTTCTCGGTGTTCTAGCGATAAGTACAGTGAGGCCCACTTCTCTGTAGTAGTGGGCCGGCCCTGCAAGAAATGTTGGACGCAGAGTCGTTTCCATCTTCATTCACATGCACGACTTTAAACTTCCATATTGGTTCAGTTTCACATTTTGGTTATGGTGTGACTTTTCTTTCTCAGTGCTGGCAGAAACAGTTAATTTGATTCCAATTTTATCCCCACCGCTGTGGACCATTTGATGGCTGGATTAGAGACAGTTTGGTGATGGCCTTTGAAAATGGTGATGCCACCATTTGAAAAAAGAAATGGTTGGAGCAAAAAAGCTGCAAATGTACGACTAATCCCAGTTCTCCATACCGTCATTGGGGTTTTCTGCAGCGTTTGGTCCCTAACCACCCACAGCTTCATTTAACACTTGAAGCCCCACACTCACCCCTTTCCTTTGCATTATATAATTGCTTGTTTGTAATTTTAGGTTATACGATGAACATACAGGATAAGTTGTCTAGTAAAATAAAAAAAACACTTATTTTAATTATTCCTAGACCTATTCATTGATCTTCTTCCCTATATTTCCATCTTTGTTTTGTATCAAACAGGAAGCGCATTCAAGGTAAAAACTGAAAAAAGAAAGAAAGAAAGAAGGGCAATGCTCAATACCCAATTTTTTGTTCAATTTTAACATCAATTTCATTCTCTGTTTTTTTTCCCCCGGGAGATCAATTTATTTTGTCACATGAATTAAACAGCTCCGACTTTAGCCGCTAGCCGTACCCGCTTGATACTAGTAGTCTCCGTGGATAAAGGACCACTATCCTTTTGCTTGCTGGTCCTAACATATTCTTTTCGCACATATGTGTTTTTATAGAAACAATTCTGTTTGAGGTGTTATCATGCACCAAATCTCAGCACATTTTTTAATGAGGATTTATATATTAATTTATCACGTTGTAGAGTTTTTTTTTTTTCCTAGACTCAATTTGGTGTTAATATTAATATTTGAACTTGGAACCTCAGAGTAATACTTTAGACAGCCTACCGTGAAGCCCAAATATGCTGGCTATCCTTTCTGGGCTTTTTTATGTTAGGTACAAACGCGGGCCTAAATTTAGCCTTCCTCAAATCTGGGCTTCGGTTAACAAATAAAGTGAGTTGTCAGACTTTAGCCTAGTTAAATTAATTAGCGCTGGTGAAAAAACAAAAAAGGCTAGTTGAATTTGCCGCTTTGGAATTTGATTTAACGATTTCTGAACTGTGACGGACGCCAAAAAACAAAACAAAACAAAACAAAAGGAATAGTATCTCAAATTCTCAATCTCATCACAACACAACTTTAACCGAACCGCCGAACATGTATGGACCTATTTGCATCTGGACCACACGAACTTGCGTGTGACTCTTGACTCCATCAGTCCATCGACAAACCCAGTTATTTCTGTTTCAAGAAATATTTTAACATCTTTCAGGGTGGCAGAACCACTTGGCCTATAACTTTCTAGTTGCAACTATTATCCAGCAACGAATTGCAAATTGGCAATGACTCCATTGACGTAGTAATAAAGTTTAATTTCATTTTACTTTGTGTGCTGGAAGATTGTCATTTGTCACATATCAACTATCTGGAAGTCTGGAATCAGGGGAAACAGAGACCACTCTGTAACAAAGCTATGGGAGGCCTTCCCCTGTTTTGCTTTCAAGAAAGGCGCCGCCTTTTAACTATTGGAACGGCTGAAAAGATAGTAAAAAGAACACAGCCACTGAAATGAAGCCATTGCCCATGGTTTAAAGACTTGAAAATTCAAATTTATCTACAGTTTAACTGATTCTCATCATCAATAAAATTTCCTCCAAAAAAAATGATATTTACAAAAATAGCGTCATTGATGTTCGCCCCAGAGAATTAGCTGTTGTAAAGATAACTCGTGCCTCTTTAATCTTTATCTCCTCGCCGTTCTGGGGCTCATTACAGTGATTAGCTATTGTGAATCGAGCACTCGAGTTCCTTGGCGAGCGGGAGGCTCCACAAGAATTCCGATCAAAGACAATGGGTATGAGGATCTCCAAACATTGTCAGTTGTTCCGTTCCGAAAAAATTTCGAACGAGCTTGCCATCGGAAACTCCGATGGCCCTCATAAAGCCCACAGTTCCACCCGCCGGCACCGGCTTTGCTTTGCCCTGACAAGCTTGCTCAGCTCCTGCTACTCACTGGATCTAATTCCAGATCACGAAATTCGCCTCGCGAAAGAAGTCCATGGATCTCAGAATCGAACCCTTCCCTTTTCGAATCATTGAGCAGAAGTGAACCCATGAAGCAGCGGTCGATATTCTTGCCAGACTTCGAGGTTGTTCCTCAAACCCTCATGGCAATACCTGTGAAACTCGTCGAGGTTACGGAACCGGGCCGATTTGCCAGAGTCAGCCCTGGAAACAAACCGGAGAACTTCTTGGAAGGTTTCTTCGTCGCATGGAATGGAGAGCGGTCCGGTGTTGGAGAATCCGTACTCCTCCTCCACTTGACTCAGTAGCTTATTGAAGAAGGGGTGGTTCAGGTAGCTGGCCTTCATCACATGCCTCCTAACACAGTCTCTGCCGACCCGGACCGCCACGTGGCCAGGCGGGACATCCAACGGAACGCCGTTCGCCGAGGACATGCGTGCCTTATTGCGCCACCGTCGTAGCATCTGGCGCAGCCTGACAATGCACCGGATTTTGCTGCATTTCCCGGCTTCCATTGAAGATCGCGACCGGTAAACGACGCACACTGGTTCTGTTTGCGGTCCTGTTTGCGTGGCACTCGCCGTTGCATTCTACTTCCCTGTTGGAGTTTAGGATTTTATAATGCTCTAGTTTGGGAAGCTGCCCTTGATTTCGCAGATAATTACGAACTAATGCCCCTGAGCGCCATGTGCCAGTGATTTCTTGACGTACTATTCCTTTTTTGGCCAGAGTTGACGTACTATTCAAGTTCACAAACGATGATAGAACAACAAGGAGAAAGAACATTGGCGGGATCGCGTAATCCAATTCTGGTTATGTTAATAATTTTCCTAATTAATGATTTCATCATCCCATCTAATTTTTTTAGACATAGGTATCTTTTTATTAAAAACAATCTTATTTGAGAAATTATTAACTCTCATAAAAAATTTAAAATTTAGTTCATTATTTTATAAAAGACTAGTTTCGTTGAACTCAACCCCTATGGGTTATCCCAATTCAGAAAATGTTTGAATAGAAACTCAACTATAATTTTAAAAATAATTTTATAATACACGAAATAAATATATAAAATAATTTGTTTCAATTTAAAAAAACAAAGGTACTTGTTAAAAATACTTTTCAGGCATTGCAAACACCCCCGTTTAAAAAGACTTGGCTGTATATATTCTGACCCAGTACGTCATCCACTTCATTGCTTCAAGAGCTCCCTTTTATCATATTTTGTATCAGGAATATGTATTCTCTTAATAGAAGTAGTTTGATTTGAAACACTGTTATGTATTAAATTTCAACATAACTCACAACTTTTATAATTAGAAACACTTAAAAAAGAGCTGTTTGATGTCACTCAGCGCCCCATCAGTCTTGATTTTTCATGCGCACGGGATTAAGAAAATAATAAACATGTTCAATCAGAGCGACACGGCATGAGTGCTGGCTGATTTTTCGGTTGCTCGTGTTAGAGCGAAATTTTTTGACACGGCATTGGATCTGGATGAGTCTACAAATAATCCTTGTTCCAGATATCCGCATGTAAGCAAAACAAGCATAATTATAGTTATTATATTTTTTTCCGTGTCTAAATATAAGTTCAGTTTATTTTAACTGGCAAACCAAGAAAAAACTTAAATGTATATAATAATTAACTTTTTTTCAAATATTTCCTCAATTAAATGCCCTTTTAAAAAGTGCATCCCATACTGATATACTCCTCCGGTCCTTAATATAGGACCTAATTATTGAATTGGTTTTTATTCTAAATATAAAACCCATTTATCATATTTATCAATTTTCTCTAAATTACCCCTATGGATACTCCATCAACTATAATCAAGTAGAAGAGGAATGAGGTATTAAGAAAGATAATTATAGTATTTTAGGAAAAATGTGCCACATTTCTTATAATTAACTAACTTATCTAACTTCCTTAATCCAATCAAATTAGTTAAATGGATCTTATATTAAGGACCGGAGGAGTAATAATTATGATTTGAAAAAATTGTTGGAAAAAATTCCCATTACAAAATTAAATACGCAGGTGCAATCTACCTTCAGCGGATGCAACCTTTTTCATTTAACTATAGACAAAATGTAATAATTTTTTTGTCAATGAAGTGTAATATATTTTTTCCAATAAACTGTAATACATTTACGCATAATAACTAAAGTTGTATATAGAACTTTCTACCAAAAAAAAAAAGTTGTATATAGAACTGGTAAATAGTTGCACACGCTATAAACAAATTGCATCCGCATAAAGACCCAAGTCCTCAGGCATTTTTTTGGGGCGAAAAAATCTGTAAAGGAGAATTTTTTAAATTTTCTATAAAAAAATCATCATTTATATTTATAATTTGACTAAAAGATACATTTGATCCTGTAATTGTGTACAAAATTTCAATTTGGTCTCTTAACTTTAAAAAATATATTTTTAGTCCTTTAATCCTAAAAATTTGTTAAAAAATAATGAAATTAAGATCTTAAATGTTAATAAAATATTCTTAAATACTAACATATTAAGTTTAATTTTCAAAATATTCATGATTATTACCAAAAAAAAATCATTGAAGCTTAATGATTTTAGGATTAAAGGACCAAATGTAAGCTTTTTAAAGTTAAAAGATCAAATTGAACCTTATATAAAGTTAAAGAACTAATGTTAAAGAACTAATCTATATTTTGGCCTTATAATTTGAAATTCAGATTTATATTTAAATTTAAGATCAATTAAAAAGTAAAATACTGTAAAACTTTTCAAAGACTGTGCAGGTAATTTTTATATAATATTTCCGTGACTTCTTTGTCATTTTCGAGCAATCTCCCTGTAATCTCCGTACAATATGTAATGATCCCCCGGGGAAGTGCGCTTGGATCACGCGGGATTGACCCCATAATCTCCCAGCACTATTACACGTCTCTTAGAGACATCCGTCAAATGTTACAGTAGCGTAACGTAACGGGAGAATGGTTAAAAAAAAATTACTATTGATAACAACACTTTATTTAGATTTGATAACACTGAATTTGTAAATGACAAAAAAAATTTGTTAACATTTTTTTATTTAGTATTTACAAATTTCTAGTTTTTTTTATCATTTTTCCTAACATAATTACGTCACGAGTCTAAAGAAATAAACAAGCTCTTTAATTTCTATAAAGATAAACTAAACTTGAAAAGCATTATATTACTATATACTCTTTCAGCTCTAAATATAAAACTCACCTGATGGCATAATTTATACTCTAAACTCGGAGGAGTATAATTTTGCTATAAAATATAATGGCCCGATGCAGCTAGGTGTAGGAGCCAAAAAAAAAGAAAAGAAAAAAGACGCTGACCAGTACAACGTTGCCGATTAATTGAAGAGATAAGTTTTAATTAATCAGGCAAGTAGCGTAAGGTGATTGTTTGTTGTTTTATGAAGTAAACTCATATGAAACCGCAATTAATTAATTAATTAATTAAAACGGTAGAGCAACGAATGGACAATGTCTTAAGCTTAAACAGTTCAGTTACCATATATGATTGGCTTGACCAGTACCACTCCGCTGAAACCGTAAAATTTCTTAGTTCTGAGCACAAAAACGAGGAACTAGCTAGAAACAGACATGCCATGTATATATGAAGCTCTCAAGGCTAGGCTGGCCACCTATGTTTTTTAATATATAAATGCTTTGCGAAAAGGAATCTTCAAATATATAAAGGTAAGACTAAGAAACAGCCAAAACAAAATGTTAATATATTGATGTGTTTCAGAAACCAAACCATTTCTCAATCTTCAAAATCCAAATCCCACCATAAACCCCATGTGCGGCTGTGTCCCATCTTTCCCTTTTTTCCCTTTTATATTAGTATTCTCAAAAAGCAAACTGCCAAAAGCGCCCTCTTAATCCCCTTCCTGCTTTTCTATATGGGAGCATCTTTGTCCAATCTTCATCTTCATCTTGATTACTTCCTTCATTTTTCTTCATTTAACATTTAACGAGAAGCCCATCAAATGGCATTGCGACACACGGCACTCAGAGAGCACCTAGTCTGATAACTCATTTAGTCTTCAAAGTGTTGTGTATGTGTGTGTATACAACATTACAATAATAGAGTCAAATGTGTATCCAGGCCAATTCTGATTTGGGGTCCACTTTCTGCATGTTCTTCTAAGTACATGCATGATGCATCCTCCTCTAGATGCCACAGGTTCATTATTTGAGCCCACAGCCCCACCCTCTCTGAATTTTCTTCTGCTAACCAAACAACCGTCTGATGAATTCTCGGAAACAGTTTCCCAGAATATATATATAATATAATTAACACAATAATAAAGTAATATTTTCTTCCCTCTGCTAAACTTATCTGTAATATAGTCTCTGTGAAATGGTCCCCACATTAATTTGAGCGTATGGAAAAAGAAGAAGAGAGGGGGGAAAAAGGTGGTGAAGTGAGGACGAGAAAACGGCTATGGTTGATTGGCGGGTACTTTTACAGAGTGTTTGGCCGTCCAGGTTCGGCTGCGCTTCGTTGTAATATTGGACCCCAAGCTCTAACACCTTTTCAGTACGGCCAATCTGTAATTTCAAAAGCTGTTCTCTCTTATTTATATCCTCACATATATTATTTCCATGCACTATGATTACAAGACAAAGCAGGATCATTAAAGAAACCAAATTATCAAAGGAAAAGCGACACTAATTAGTTTAATGAATAACGTTTGAAAGAGTGAAAGGATGACGCGTGTTCTAAAAACTGAGCATAGAGTTATTAATAGGCTAGCATAAACTGATCTTGCAGTTGGTTTTTGTCGCGATGTCGCGGCCTTTTAGAATAACTGAAATGAAGGTTGAAGCCCAACCCCACCTGAGCATATAGCCCTCTTAGATGTGGGTGTGTGCGCCCTAAGTACGTAGCTGCCAAATGCTAGATATATAGGGCAAAGACACTTACAAGTTACGACTTCATCTTACAGCCACTCCAATTTAATTTCATTTATTCATTCTGCAACTTTGCGTGCTCAGTTTTGTGTTATGGGAATCAGATCAGACTTTCGGTGGTGCGTGCAGAAAAAGACTTTGCTAGCCGAGCTAGACCCTCCATATTTCCTTCTTATTCCCTTTTTTCTCCTATCGTGGGCAGCAAAAAGACGTTTATCAATTTGCTATACGAAGAAAACACTTAGATCGTGGACGACACATAAAACCCTAATTTAATGGCTAAACCTACTTAAAATATATAGATATAAGAAAAAACGTAGTAGGGTAACGCAAATCAAACAAAAGAAAGACTTCCAATGTTTTCATAGCTGTCAATTGTCACAGTCCATACTTAACTTTGATAATAACTTGTAACAATACGCAGAGCCACGTTCCATGTATTTCTATATTATTTTTTTGGCCCATATTTCCACATCATTTTCATATTCATATATACTGAGAAAGATACATTCCATATCTACGAGCGCCCAAAGTTTTGCAGAGGAGGCCACTCGAGCCTACTCAAATGAGGTCTCATGTACTAAAATAAGATCTCGTAGGGTCATACACACCACAGATAGACCCTCGTCATATATATGTGTATATATATAATCACTTTACAGATGTGAGGCCACTTGAGCCTGCTCAAATATATTTGGAATCTCCCTAGGGTTTTTTGTTGGTTCATTTATACGTTCATGCACTTACTGGTTTTTGCGTATATATAA